AGCTTGACCCGCCCCTGGGTCGGGTCGGGTCGGGGCCGGGTCGGGTCGGGTCGGGCCGACTCCCATAGGCAGGGTTAGAGGTTCTCCTTAATAATGTGTAGGGGCGCGGGTCTAGCGACCTGCGCCTGCACGGCGCGCAAAGATGCCCTAAAACGCGGGCCTGCAATGCGCGCGCCTAGGGTGGGAGCGCGACCTGTGAATTTCAGATTTAAAAGAAACCCTAGGATGGATGGCGTGAAGTGCGAAGTGCGATTGGCTGAGTACTAACTAAACATTATCGTGGGTTCTAGGGTAGATTAGTACGCCAATGTTGCTTGGTGGGTGGCTGCTGGCGTCACTAGCTAGTTAACCTAACTTAATCCAGATCGAAATGCTAGTTGCTGGGAAATCAAGCAAGCGCGATTGCGATCTGGATAACATTGTCGAGAGGAAACCCTCGGGTCGGGCCAGATACCCAACCCGAGATAGGGCGCGGTACCCGAAACCGGGTCGAGTCCATAATCGGGTCAAAACCCGACCCGACCCGACCCGACCCGGAATCGGGTCACGGGTCGACCCGAGCCGGCCGGGTATACCCGACCCGACCCGGCCTGGTCAGTGGTTCAGAACTCCTGACCCGACCCGGGTCAAAACCCGGGTCGGGTCGACTATGCTCATCCCTAGCAGCAGCTGCCGTTTGTGGTTGGAAGGTGGAGCAAATGGATGTGAAGACGGCTTTCCTCTATGGCGTGGTAGATGAGGAGATCTACATGAAGCAGCCAGAGGGGTACGACGATGGGAGCGGACGTGTTTGCAGGCTCAACAAGGCCATCTATGGTCTCAAACAAGCTCCAAGGTGCTGGTATGGAAGGCTGATGGAGGCGTTGGAGGCTCTTGGCTTCAAAGTCAACGGGTGCGGCGAGAGTCTCTTCATGACCGAGGGGGAGGAGGAGAAGGTGTTTCTCCTTGTCTATGTCGATGACATTCTCCTCTTCTCTCCATCTCTAGAGAGGATCAAGGAGGTGCAAGGGAAGCTGAAGGAGACCTTTCAATGCAAGGCCCTTGGACCGGTGGGGTATTACCTTGGTCTTCACGTAGAACGGGACGAGGTGAAGGGATGGTTGAGGCTTCACCAACACAAGTACCTTGCAGCCATGGGGGAGAGGTATGGGCTGGAGGAAGAGAGGAGTGTGAAGTATCCTCTACCCTCAAGGTTTCAGCTACACATTGATGAAGAGGAGGGTGAGGTGTTGGAGCCCGAGTTGCAGCGTCGGTTCCAGTCAATGGTGGGGAGCTTGATGTATGCTTCGGTCAACACTCGCCCCGATATTTCATTCGCGGTTTTGCAGCTGGCTCGTATGGTGTCTAGGCCCCTTCAAGAGCACCTTGATGTAGCAGAGAGGCTGGTGAGGTACTGCATGGCAACCTCAAGGGTGGGGCTGCAATATTCAATGCATGGGCAGCTGAAGCAAAAGGGAGTGGAGGAGGTGAGCACGAAGACCGGTGCACCTGCAAGGCGTTGACACTTGTACCTATCGTGCTTCACCGATGCTACCTGGGCAAGTGACATTAGTGATGCAACATCCCATGGTGGCTATGTATGCTGTGTTGGAGGGAGTCCAGTGAGCTGGAAGTCTAAGAAGCAAGGGGAGATAGCTCACTCATCAACGGAGAGCGAGTACATGGCGTTGTTTCATGGGGTAAAGAAGGTGGTTTGGATAAGGAGGTTGCTTGAGGAGTTGGGGCAGGAGCAAGAGGGTCCTACACCTGTGTTTTGTGACAGCCAAGGAGCAATTGCAATGGCTCGCAATGCTGTGCTCCATGGGCTGAACAAGCACATGCATATCAAATGGCATTGGGTGAGGAAGGAGGTGAAGAAGAGCACGGTCTCCTTGCACTACATCAACACTACCAAGCAACCTGCAGATTTCTTGACCAAGAGGCTTGCAGAGCATCAGCATTGGACCTGTGCCACCTTGTGTGGCATGTCCTTCAACTAAGGGAGGCAGCTTCAGGGAGCAGCTAAAAGATGAATGAGAGCACGATGAGGGGGAGTTTGTTGTGCCAACACATTACAGTGGCACGGTCATCGCACTCCCATTCGGCCTACAAGCATGCTCAGCTTCTGGAATTTTGTGGGGAGGTTTTTCAACATGTGTTCTTCAAACCCTCAAAGTTTCAGAGTTTTTAAAGCAGTTACCAAGGCATGACAACATTTTATGTTTCAAGACTTATGGCATCCGGGAAGTGTGTGTTACTCCTTTTTGGTAACACCCGAGTTCACCATTTCGGCTTCTGACTCGTCTACCGAGCTCTGATTGGTCTGAAATTCGGTGTGGCAATCCTTTGCCCCGCTGTGCAGGTGGTCATCAAGTTTCAGAACGATCCAACATCTGAGCATAGCGTGACAGCTGCCGAAATTCACTGTTCCGTAGTCATGGTGCACTGTTGGCAGCATTTCCCTTGCCACCCTTTCATTGTTGTCATGCAAATGGTGCAGGGACAGAGAATGAGACAAGAAGTACAGGTGGTCAAGTGGGACTCTACAGCTCTCCTTTTGAGAAGTGTGGTCTTCCTAGAACCAGCTTGCAAGAGGGTGCAAGTGGGAAGATAGCTGACTCATGGTTGGCTTAACTCACAATTGGTTGCCTTGAGTACAGCTCTGAACATCCATGTGTGGTTGGCTTTGCTGACATAGCTAGGACGTTTCCCATCCTTCTCTAACCTTTCTCCCCTAGTACTCAACCTTCTCTGAGTTCCCATGATGATCCCAACCCCTTAAGAGTTCCCTAGGCAATGTTGTACCTCACCTCTTCCTTGCATCAATGAGAATACAGGTTTTTCAGCCGAGCTTACGTTTTCGTTCACAGCGTAGCGCATACACCTCTGGTGAAAGCAAGAAATACACCGTTGGAAAGCAGACACTTAAGGCTAACTGCTGTCTAAGTTTCAGCCTCATGTGTTATCGGAGCTGATCGTGACGGCGTTTTGAACAGAGGCGGTTTGAAGACGCCAGATTCTGCTTAGGCGGTTTCATGGGCATCCGCGACCTCTAAGTGGACTCTTGACTATAACAGCCCACACCTCACTGCCAATCGTCTTTATGACTCAACCATGGAGCTGGCACGTCAGGAGCTGGAGGGGCAGCGGGGACAGTGGAGGATGCGGGGCCAGGGGTTATACCCTTGCGCGGGCCACATTGGTTGGTGGCAGGCAGAGTGCCTCAGTGCAAGTGCGCATGGCAATGGATGCGCTCTGCTTGCTTTGCTTTGCCCTACGTTGCATGTCCCATCATCCATTCATCCCCCAACCAACCAACCCCAGCTGGGCAGTGGGAACAGCTGGCCAGAGTGCTCCGGTGCGAGTGTGCATGGCAATGGATGTGGTGTGCTGTGTGGACTCTGCATCACACATTGTTCAAACACCCCATTCAAATCCCATCAGGGCAGTGGGTGCAGCAGGGAAGAATGCAAGTGCCCTGGTGCGAGTGCGCATGGCTGTCGATGCGCCGTGATTTGAGCTGCCATGCATTGCATGTCCCATCATCCATTCACCCCTCAACCAACCAACCCCCAGCAGGGCAGGGAGTGCAGCAGGGAAGAATACCCTGGTGCGAGTGCGCATGGCCACAGATGCGCCGTGCTTTGCTTTGTGTGGACACTGCACGGGACATCACATCATACATGTGCTTCCCCAACCCCAGCAGGGCAGCACGGCAACCTCCCCCGGTGCGAGTGCGCATGGCGATGGATGCGCTGCGCTTCGCTCGCCTTACATTGCATGTCTCATCATCCATTCACCCCCAGCAGGGCAGCAGCGCAGAGTGCCCGTGTGCGAGTGCGCATGGCAATGGATGCGCTGTGCTTTGCGGACGAGCGCTGGCTCGTGTGCGGCTCTGATACCACGGGATCTGCGCCGTCCACCATCGTCCTCTGGGATACCTCCCGCCCCCCCTCCTCCTCCGCTGCACCCTCTGCCTCGCCTGCTGCTACTGCCACTCCTGGTGCCTCTGCTCCCAGTGCGGGACCCTCTGTGTTCCACATGCCTGCCTTTTCCTCAGTGAGTCCACTTGGCACCAAGTGAAGGGTATGTGAAGTTCTTACTTTGCCCTTCACCTCAGTCCAAGTGAAGGGTGATTTTTGAGACTGCAGGGTGATCTTGAGGGATTCGCAAAAACACAGAGTGGGATCTTCTGTGTTCCACATGACCTGCCTTCTTCTCAGTAAGAAAAACAACCTCGTTTTCCTCTAACTTCATGTTATGTGTTGCCGCCAACCCCACCAACTGTGTCAAACGAGAGGAGCTCATGCCGTATGTCGAATTTCTCTGTCATTCATGTCACTTATGCCGACGTCTTCCCATCCGTAAACATGCTCTTTCCCTCCCCCACGCCCACGCCATCCAGTTCGTAACATGTGTGGCCGCCAACCCCACCGACTCTCGAACCGTCGTTGCTGGTGAGCTCCTCTCTCCCTCCCACTATGTCTCATCTACCCTCCCTCATCTACCTTTCTCCTCTGATATTACACACGTACAATTCACCAGGCTTCCCTGAAGCGATTGGACTTGCTTGTACTGGTGGCCTTTCTTTGATTGGTCCTCTGCTTCCCTTCCAGCCCCCTTACATTCCACTAGGAAGACGTGTGAGGCTCTCATTCCCAAACTCCATTGGCTTGCTCCCATCCTCGTGTCAAATGCACTCTCCCTCCTGTTCTTGCCATGCCACCCATGCCACCCATGCCACGCATGCCACGCATGCCACCACACATGCCACCACACATGCCACCACACATGCCACCACACATGCCACCACACATGCCACCCATCCTCACCACTTGTCCCATGCCTACATTCCATCCCCGCACTGCATACCTCTCCTCTCCACTGAGTTCACTTCCCCCTCTTCCTTTCCCTCTCCTTATCCCTCTCTCCCTGCCCACCTGCAGGTGGTGGATAAGGCAGAGTGACTTTATTTTACTCACGCACGTACACAAGGCCGTGACTCGCCCGTTAAACAGCCCATGCCACCTCCGACCATGGTGCTTCCATCCCACCCACACATTGCATTCCCACCTCACCTGCTTCTGCGCTCCCTCCCTCCCTCTCTCTCTCTCTCTCTCTCTCTCTCTCTCTCTCTCTCTCTCTCTCTCTCTCTCTCTCTCTCTCTCTCTCTCTCTCTCTCTCTCCCTAACCGCCTGCAGGCGGCGGGGATGGCGGCGTGGCTCTCTTTGATTCACGCATGCACAAGGCCATCACTCGCTTCTCACTGGGAGGCAGTTTTGAGGTGAGAGGGATCAGAGGGGCGAGGGGAAGGGAGGTGAGAGGGGGTGATGGGGGGTATAGGGAGGGATGGCGGTGTGGCTCTCTTTGATTCGCGCATGCACAAGGCTGTCTCTCGCTTCTCCCTGGGGAGCAATTGCGAGGTGAAGGGAGTAAATGCGAGAGGGGAGAAGAAATGGTGAGAGTGAGATGGCCTATATCAATGAAAGGGGGAATATTAAATCTGACGTCTCTCCTCCCTAGCGCACCCCATTAGCTGACGCCAGCACCGTTCAGCCCCTAACTGCTCCATGCCACTTGCTCCACCAACTGCTGTTCCTGCTCCCTCCCGTCCTCCTTCACAGCACTGCACCCTCCTCTCGATCGTCATCCCGTATTTCTCGTCTCTGTTCACTCCCTGTCACTTCTCCCACACGCCCCATACCCCACCTCCACTCCACCCCCCCGCACACCCCTTCAGGTGACGTCAGCAGCGTTAAGCCCATGTGATAGATCCCGCTGCTGCTCCCATTGCTGCTCCCCCTCTTTGACTCCCGCTGTCTCCCCTCCTCTCCTCTCATTTGCATTCCCCTCTTGTCTTTCCTCTGCTCACCTCTTCAGGTGACGTCAGCAGCGTTCAGCCCCTGTGGTCGGTTTTTCCACGCTGCCTGCTCGGCCAACTGCTGCTTCCTCTTTGACTCCCGCTGCCTCCCCTCCTCCTCCTCCTCCGCTGCTGCTCCCCCCTCCTCCTCGTCCGCTCCCCCTTCCTCTTCCTCCTGCCCCTCCCCCTCTCTGCGCCCTCTCTTCTGCCTCTCCCACGGCCCACCCATGCCGTCAGTGCAGCACTCCGTGCAGCATGCGGGGTGAGTGAGTGTCGTGCGGTGCAGTGCAGTGTGTTTGGGTGATGGCGCATGGTACTGACCCCACTTCCACAGCCCTATCGTGCCATCGGTGCAGCACTCAGTGCAACATGCGGGTTGAGAAAGGGAAAAGAAGAGGGGGGGGCGGGGTGGGGGGGAGGAAAGGGTTTGGTGCATGGGGTTTGAGGTGGGGTGAGTGCGTGGCACTGAATCCTCTCCCATGGCCCGCCAATGCCATCAGTGCAGCACTCCGTGCAGCATGCGGGGTGAGAGGCGGGCTGTTGGTGGGTGGGTACATTGAGTAAAAGAGTTGTGTGTGCCACTGAACCCTTTTGTTCCCGCCTGTGCTGTGAGTGCAGCATGCACACGGTGAGATGGGGATGGTGAGAGGTGGCGGTTGGGGGTTGGGGGATGTATGCGTGGGGCGTGTGTGGTGTGGTGTGGTGTGGTGTGGTGTGGTGTGGTGTGGTGTGGTGTGGTGTGGTGTGGTGTGGTGTGGTGTGGTGCCAAGCCAACCCCACTTGTTCCCGCTTGTGCGCACTTGTGGTTTGGTTGGAGCATGCGGAGAGCGGGGTGAGAGGAGGGAGGGGAGGGGGGGTGAGTGCATCGTGTGGTGTGCGTTGTGTGTTGTGTGGTGCATGGCGCATGGTGCATGGTGTATGGAGCACAGTTCATGGCGCATGGTGTATGGTGTATGGTGCATGGTGCATGGTGCATGGCGCATGGTGTATGGTGTATGGTGCATGGTGCATGGCGCATGGTGTATGGTGCATGTTACATGGTCTGGTACCTAACCCTCTTGATTGCCTTATCTCCTCCCGCCATCTACCACACACACTCTTCACCCCCCAGTGTTGTGGATTGTGGGGAAGTGGGATGAACGACACCGAATGTGTCTTTGTCTCGCGCCTCTTTCCACTCCCTTTCCTCTCCCAACCCTACCTTACACACACTCTTCCCCCCACCCAGCTTTGTGGATTGTGGGGACGAAGGGGTCAATGATGCCAGGTGGCTCTCTGCTTCGCCTGGCCTCGTGACTGCCAGTGGCAATGGCAGGTGGGATTGCTCTGCCACGCTGGCATGCTCTGCCACGCTGGCATGGTAGCGAGTGAGAGGCAGTGACAATGGCAGGTGGGAATGTCTTGCTGTGCCATCCTGCCATGCCCTGCCATGCTGTCACCCTTCCAAATCCCCATGAGCATCTTTTAGAGAGGGTCCATTTCCCCCTTCCCCTTCCCCTTCCCCTTCCCCCTCCCCTCCCCCTCCCCATTCCCCTTCCCCTGCCCCACCCATCGCTGCCATACTCTACTAAGCTGTCAGCGTAACAATACCTCCTTCCCCACCCTCCCCCCTGTCTCCTCCTGTGCAGCGTGGCTGTATGGGACTTAAAGAGGTGACTTTTGAGTCAACTCAAAAGTCACCATCTTCCCCACCCTTCTCCTTGCCCCCTCCTATGGCAGGGACCTCACTCTAGCCGATCCCCTCACTGCCTTCTCTTTCAACTGGCTCAATGATCAATCATGTATTCTGCTTACCCTGCAGCCCTTCCCTTGTTCATCCGCCGTCCCTTCAATCCCCCCTTCCCCACAGCAGTGTGGCAGTGCGGTACTCTGCCCGACCCACTCACTGCCCTCTCCTTGAACCTTCCTCGGTCATCTGTTCTTCTTACTTTGCGTTGCTTCTCTTGATTCTCCTGCCCCGTTGCCTCACCCCCTCCCCATGCCAGTGTGGCTGTGTGGGACGTCTCTTTGGCCGATCCCCTCACTGCCTTCTCCTTCGCACACACTCGATCTATCAACACTGTAAAGCAGTCCACATGCCGTATGATCGTACCGTAACTTTGTGTATTTCCTGTATTCGGTGAGGATTGCCCTGTGCATCCTTTTCAATTACACTTATCCTACACTGGTTAAGCCTAGAACTTATACGTTGCCCCTCTCTCTCCCTCCATGGGCATATTTTGCAGTGGCTGACAAGGCTGTTGCTTTGGCGTCCCCCTCCCTGCATGGCAGGTTGCGCGGCCACCCGGTGACGCCTGCATTGCCTTTTGAGGCGTCTCAAAAGCCTTTTCTCTGCTCCTCCTCCCCCTCCCTCCATGACCAGGTGGCAGTGGCACCCGATGATGCCTGCATTGCCACTGGAGGGGATGATCAGAAAGTGGTGAGCGCATTTCTCTCCCCTCTCGTCCATTCCTAGGTGCACTAATACATGCTCGCATGCAAAAGCTTCATGCATGCATGTAGCCCACATGCGCACGTCCATGCATGCATGCACTCATTCTTGCACGCGTGTACGCAATCCAAGTGCTAGCAATTGCGTGAACCCGCACACACACACTCGCACACACACACTCGCACACACACACACTCGCACACACACACACTCGCACACACACACTCGCACACACACACACTCGCACACACACACACTCGCACACACACACTCGCACACACACACTCACACATACACAGTCTCGCACACACACACTCGCACACACACACTCGCACACACACACTCGTACACACACACTCGCACACACACACTCGCACACACACACTCGCACACACACATTCGCCTACACACACTCACCTACACACACTCGCACACACACATTCGCACACACACACTCACACACACACATTCGCACACACACATTTGCACTCACACATACACCACATGCACTCAACCCTCATATGTGTACGAGCAGCACTAACGCACTTGCACATACATGCACACACATGCAGACAAACATGAACACACCCTGTCAAGTGTTCTTATCCAACTTTCTCATTACCATTTTGTGTTACCATATGCTCTATCTCCCCTTCCCTGCTTCCATCCTCAAATCCTTTACCTCTCTCCCAGAATCGCTTGTACCTGTTTTATAAGTAAGGGACGAATGGAAAATAAGATCTCCGCATCGTTTTCTCCATTTGCTGCTTCCCCCCTCAAGTCCTCTACCACCCCACCTCACTTTCCCTCGCCTCTCTTACTCATGCCCATAAGGTGTTACCATCTGTACCTCTCTCCATTCAACCCTTCCCCCTTCAGGTCCTCCATCTCTCTCCTTTGACCGCCTCTTCAACCTCGACTCACTGGAAGCTCACACATCCCCTTGCCTTGTAGCCTTGCTGCAGCATGTTGCAAATGGTTTGAGGCACCAAAAAATACTGTCATCGCTCGGATAGTAGACATATATGTCTTATCTCGTACACTGCTCAAGGAAAACAAATGAAGCCTAAGGGAATTGAGGGCCACAAAACAAGCAGCACTGTTTGTTATCAGTGTAATAATAATACACGGTACGGTACAAGAGAGAAGGAAAAGGAAGAGAAACAATAATATCGTAGAGCAGAAAGTGGTACTACGGTATAACGCCGAGTGTGGACAACAAAGGGAGTGACAATAACAAGAGGGGAGAAGAAACCCCCCCACAGCCCCCCCACAGCCCCCCCACAGCCCCCCCACAGCCCCCCCACAGCCCCCCCACAGCCCCCCCACAGCCCCCCCACAGCCCCCCCACAGCCCCCCCACAGCCCCCCCACAGCCCCCCCACAGCCCCCCCACAGCCCCCCCACAACCCCCCCACAGCCCCCCCACAGCCCCCCCACAGCCCCCCCACAGCCCCCCCACAGCCCCCCTACCCCCCAATCCTCCTCACAGCCCCCCACAGCCCCCCAGACCGCCCCCACTATCCCTGGCATGGCATGGTCCCCCCCTATCCCTGGCATGGCATGGTCCCCCCCTATCCCTGGCATGGCATGGTCCCCCCCTATCCCTGGCATGGCATGGTCCCCCCCTATCCCTGGCATGGCATGGTCCCCCCCTATCCCTGGCATGGCATGGTCCCCCCCTATCCTTGGCATGGCATGGTCCTGATCCTGGTCCTGGTCCTGGTCCTGGTCCTGTTCCTGTTCATGTTCCTGTTCCTGTTCATGTTGTCAGAAGGTGGCTGGAACAGTAACAAGACGGCAGGAACAGTAGCTGGGCAGCAGTAGCAGTAACAAGGTGGCCGTAGCAGTAACTGGGCGTCTGGAACAGTACCGGGCAGCTGGAGCGGTTACCAGGTGGGTGGAGTGGTAACCAGGCGGCTGGAGCGATAACCAGGCGGCTGGAAAGGTAAGCAGGCAGCAGGAACAGTAACCGGGCGGCATGAACAGTAGCCGGGCGGCAGGAACAGTAACCGGGCTTGCAGGGGCCAAGGCTAGGCCAAACCCACCCCGTGCCTAGCCCACACCCACCCCGCAGCTCTTATATAGACACACGCACACAAGTACCGTACAAAACAAGAGCAAGGTGCATGTCCTTCCAAATATCCTACTTGTAGATGTGTCTCGTGTCTTGGCGGGGTGAGAAGGTCTCTTCACGGCGCCCTGCAGCGAGAGAAGGCCACCTGCGCAAGGCGGGGTGGGGAGGGGTGGCAGGATGGCAGGTGTGACAGCATGGCTCTCCGAGCCTCATCCAGACCAGAGCGGAGAGTGAACAGTGCAGGATGGGAAACAGTGGGGTGAACAGTGCATGATGGGGAAACAGTGGGGTGAACAGAGCGGGATGGGGAAGCAATAGGATGAACAGTGGGGGATGGGAAAACAGGGGGGTGAGGAGGAGTGCAGAGCAAGGGAACGACGGGTGCAGAGCAAGGGAACGACGAGTGCAGAGCAAGGGAACGACGAGTGCAGAGCAAGGGAACGACGAGTGCAGAGCAAGGGAACGACGAGTGCAGAGCAAGGGAACGACGAGTGCAGAGCAAGGGAATGACGAGTGCAGAGCAAGGGAACGACGAGTGCAGAGCAAGGGAACGACGAGTGCAGAGCAAAGGAACGAGAGCATAGGGGAAGGGGGCCAGGAGATGAGAGCATAGGAGAAGGGGGCCAGGAGAGTGGGGACCGTTGTCTCACCTCGTGCCTCACTGGCTTCGCCTTAGCCTCGCCGCACCGTTGCCCAGCTGCGCCCGTCACTGTCGGCAGAAACGAGCAAGGGCGGAAACGAGCACGAGGACATGGCATGGCATGGTAATCGGGCGGCATGAACAGTAACGGGGCGGCAGGAGCAGTGACGCGCGGCAGGAGCAGTGACCGGGCGGCACGAGCAGTGACGGGCGGCACGAGCAGTGTCGGGCGGCACGAGCAGTGACGGGCGGCATGACTAGTGACGGGCGGCATGACCAGTGACGGGCGGCACGGCCAGTGACGGGCGGCATGACCAGTGACGGGCGGCATGACCAGTGACGGGCGGCATGAACAGTGACGGGCGGCATGAACAGTGACGGGCGGCATAAACAGTGACGGGCGGCCTGAACAGTGACGGGCGGCCTGAACAGTGACGGACGGCCTGAACTGTAACCGGGCGGCGGGAACAGTGATGGGCGGCATGGACAGTGACGGGCGGCCTGAACAGTAACGGGCGGCACGAACTGTAACCGGGCAGCGGGAACAGTAACCAGGCTTGTAGGGGCCAAGGCTAGCCCAAACCTACCCCGTGCCTAGCCCAAGCCCCGTGTCGTTCTTATATCGACACACGCACAAGTACCATACAAACAAGAGCAAGGTGCATGTCCTAATAAATATCCTACTTGTAAGTATGTCTCGTGTCTTGGCGGGGTGAGAAGGTCTCTTCACGGTGCCCCGCAGAAAGGAGAGAAGACCTTTCTGCGCAAGGCGGGGTGGGGAGGGATGGCAGGATGGCAGGTGTGACGGCATGGCGGATGGTTTAGAAACCATGGCAGAGGTTTAGGGTGCAGCACAGGTGAGTGGAGGGGAGCAGAGCACGTGAGTGAGTGAGGAGCCATAGGAGCGAGCGCGAGGGGCCTCACCTCACTGGCCTCAACAGGTCTGCCCAGAGCGCTCCAAGTCTGTCCCAACCCTTTTTGAGGTGCCTCAAAAATCTGCCCAGAGCGCTCCGAGTCTGCCCCAACCTTTCCGAGGAGAGGAGGTGAACGGAGGGAAGGAGAGGTTTTAGCATAGGGGCTGGCGGAGGGCGGAACGAGGAGGAGGGCGGAACGAGGAGGAAGGGCGCAACGAGGAGGAAGGGCGCAACGAGGAGGAAGGGCGCAACGAGGAGGAAGGGCGCAACGAGGAGGAAGGGCGCAACGAGGGGGAGGGCGGAACGAGGAGAAAGGGCGGAGGAACGAACAAGGGCAGAATGACGGAAGCGGAACGAGCAAGTGCGGAACGAGCAAGGGCGGAACGAGCAAGTGCGGAACGAGCAAGGGCGGAACGAGCAAGTGGGGAACGAGCAAGGGCGGAACGAGCAAGTGTGGAACGAGCAAGTGCGGAACGAGCAAGTGCGGAACGAGCAAGGGTGGAACGAACAAGGGCGGAATGAGCAAGGGCGGAACGAGGAAGCATTTTTCTCACCCTTATCCGAGTTTCCCTAGCAATTGTCTTCGCCGCCTCTTGCATACGTCGCGTGTCGCATCACGCACGTTTTATAAGAAGCGCCCGTGGCGCGGGTCCGCAGCGCACATCACGTTCTTCGCGTCCCGCATTTGGCGCGTGAGCTCGGAAACCGTCAGCGCGTGTGCGCTACTGCTGCGAGCTGCGCGACGTGAGCGGCTCGAAGCCGAGCACAAAGGAGTGGAGGCGCAGGAAGGGGAGGGGATTAGGTTGACGGCGGGAAACGGCAGCGCTCGGTTCTCTCCCTCCATCCGCGAGTATAGCTCCTGAACCCGCTTTAGATCCGCTGGAGTCTGCTCCAACTCCCACTTGCTCCGTGCTGTCTTCCCCTGTACCTGCGGGGGCGAATGAACAAGCAGATTCGTATGAATAAGTGCACGTGGAACGAACGAGTATACTTGTGTATGTAACATTCACATAAGCACGCGCACATGCATGCTACCCTTTGGCAGCTGCAGCAGCTTATCTTTCAGTCGTCTCACTCACTTGCCCAGCCACCTCTGCTTGAAGAAACTCTTACCTGCCCGCCCACCTCTTCTTCAAGCTCTCACCTGCGTGGCCACCCCTGCTTCAAAATCTCACCTGCCCGGCAATCTCTGCTCCAAACTCTCACCTGCCCAGCAATCTCTACCCCAAAATCCGCGGGAAACCGCGGGAAGGAAACCATGGGAAACCATGGGAAAGAGGGGAAAACAGCGGGAAAAGGCAGGAAAAGGAAGAAATCAGCGAGGAAACGGCACTTGGCCGTGCCTGGGGCGCGGAAAAGGCACTTGGCCGTGCCTGCAGCGCGGAAAGGGCACCTTGCTAGGCCTGCAGCGTGGAAAAGGCACTTCGCCGCGCCTCTCAGCCGGCTGTGCCGAGCCTCTCACCAGGCAGTGCCGAGCCTCTCATGGCGCGCAATCCGCCGCCTGCCACGTGGCGCACGATCCGCCGCCTGGTGATGCTCGCGTGCTGGTGGGAGAGGTATAGGAGAGTGCTTTTCCTCCATCAGATCAGCACCAGTCGTGTCGCGTCGCTGTCAAAGAGAAAACATTGAAGCGCGGTACCGATTTGAAGCGCGGTTCCGCGTTGCACAACTTTTCCGTCAGCTGGAAATTTGCAGGGTAACAGTAAAATATGCTTTTGTTCATGACATATTAATTTGATATGTTTTTACTGAGTTGAAGAATCAACAATCTAGAATATGAAAAGACAAAACACACAGAACATAATTACTAGCTGCATAAATGGAAATTCCAATCATGTAAATGTAATACATCTGAATGGTACAATGCATGGCAACATTATCGATACGCTAATTGATATATCGACGAGGACGACGCGTGACAAGGACGAGGACAAAGGTGACGAGGAGGAGGAGGAGGAGGAGGAGGAGGAGGAGGAGGAGGAGGAGGAAGAGGAGGAGGAAGAGGAGGAGGAGGAAGAGGAGGAGGTGGAGGAGGAGGAGGAGGAGGAGGAGGAGGAGGAGGAGGAGGAGGAGGAGGAGGAGGAGGAGGAGGAGGAGGTGGAGGAGGAGGAGGAGGAGGAGGAGGAAGAGGAAGAGGAGGAGGAAGAGGAGGAGGAGGAAGAGGAGGAGGAGGAGGAGGAGGAGGAGGAGGAGGAGGAGGAGGAGGAGGAGGAGGAGGAAGAGGAGGAGGAGGTTGAGTGCAATGCTGGGCCGTTGTGTGCAGTCATTGGTGGTGCTGAGTGCCCGTGAGCGGTGACACGCGGTGATGAGCGCTGATTAGGTTGGGAGCGGTGTCGAGTGGCTGTGAGCGGCTCTCGGTGATTTAGAGTGGCAGTGAGCGGCGCTGAGCTGTTGTGTGTGGTCATTGGTGGTGATGAGTGCCGGTGAGTGGTGACGAGCTGTGACGAGTGGTGATGAGCGGCTCAGAGAGGTGTGGAGTGGTGATGAGCGGCTTTGAGCAGTGCCGAGTGGTGTTGAGCGGCTGTGAGTGGTGCAGAGTGCTGCAGAGCGGTTCAGAGCAGCAGTCAACGGTGCTGGGCCGTTGTGTGCGGTCATTGCTGGTGCTGAGCGCCCGTGGGTTGTGAGGAGTAGTGATGAGCCACTCTGAGAGGTGCCAAGTGGTGATGAGCTGCTCTGAGCGGTGCCGAGTGCTGCAGAGCGGTTCAGAGCAGAAGTGAGTGGTGATGGGTCGTTGTGTGCGATGATTGGTGGTGCTGAGCGCCTGTGAGCGGTGACGAGAAGTGATGAGCCACTCAGAGAGGTGCCGAGTGGTGATGAGCGGCTCTGAGCGGTGCCGAGTACTGCAACAAGGTTCAGAGCGGCAATGAGAAGTATTGGGCCTTTGTGTGCGGTCATGGTGGTGCTGAGCGCCCGTGAGTGGTGACGAGCGGTGATGAGGGGTGATGGGCGACTGAGAGAGGTGTCCAGTGGTGATGAGCGGCTCTGAGCGGTGCCGAGTGCTGCAGAGTGGTTCAGAGTGGGAGTGAGCGGTGCTGGGCCGTTGTGTGTGGTCATTGGTGGTGCTGAGTGCCCGTGAGTGGTGACGAGCGGTGACGAGTGTTGATGAACGGTGTAATCTGACTAAGGTGTGACGTTGATGTCCGTCTCCCGCCTCTCGACTACTGCAAACAAGGATGCCTTGAGCATCACGGAAACAACTGTGAGTACTGTACAACACTCGTGGTTGTGCTCGTCTGGTGCTTCTGAACCGTTTGTGCCATCCCAACAATCAAGATAGGTTCAATGTGTTTCATTTCTCCGCATAATATCCTCTTGTATCAGTTTCCTGTACAGCATGCGAGCGTACTGGAGACAAAGCGTTGTGAATTTCAGTCCCAGTGCAAAAAAAAACCCTATGTGCTGCTGTTGCTGCTTTTCTTGCTATTCTTGCTGCTGCTACTGATGTTGTTTCTTCTACTGTTGCTTCTGCAGCCCTTGTGGTGCTGGATGTGTTGACCCAGCAGGGACAATTGCAGCAGCCAGGCTGCATGAAAGACCCAGGCAGGTTCCTTCCCAGAATGCCCACACGACCTGCGGAGGACATCAAGGGGCAACAAGGGGGGGAAGGAACGAGGCGGAGGACTGGATGATTGGGGAGAGGGCGCGGGGGCTGCAAATCAGTGAGCAGTAGCAGTACACGCAACGACATCGGCAGCACAAGCAATGACATCGGCCGCACAAGCAATAACATCGGCAGCACAAGCAATGACATCGGCAGCACAAGCAATGACATCGGCAGCACAAGCAATGACATCGGCAGCACAAGCAATGACATCGGCAGCACAAGCAATGACATCGGCAGCACAAGCAATGACATCGGCAGCACAAGCAATGACATCGGCAGCACAAGCAACGACATCGGCAGCACCGACAGGGCAGCAGTAGCAAGCAGTGACAGCAGAGCTGCAGCAAGCACTGGCGGCAGCAGCAGTAGCAAGCAAGCACTGGCGGTAGCAGCAGTAGCAAGCAAGCAGTGACGGCAGCAGCAGTAACAAGCAAGCAGTGACTACAGCAGCAGTAGCAAGCAAGCAGTGACGGCAGCAGCAGTAGCAAGCAAGTAGTGACGGCAGCAGCAGTAGCAAGCAAGCAGTGACGGCAGCAGCAGTAGCAAGCAAGCAGTGACGGCAGCAGCAGTAGCAAGCAAGCAGTGACGGCAGCAGCAGCAGCAAGCAAGCAGTGACGGCAGCAGCAGTAGCAAGCAAGCAGTGACGGCAGCAGCAGTAGCAAGCAAGCAGTGACGGCAGCAGCAGTGCCAAGCAGTGATGGTCCGAACAGAAGCAACCAGCAGTAAACAGCCCGAACAGAAGCAATGGCAGCAAACAGCCCAAAGCAACAGCAGCAAACATCCCGCGCAGAAGCAACAGCAGGTGAAGGGTGTGTTTTGGCACGACCAAAACTGCAGCATAGGGAGAGAGGGGAAAGGGATGGAAAGCGACGGGTGAGTGGGCCCCATGGGAGGGAGCAAGGGAAGTGAGGCGTGGGCAGGGGTTGTGAGCCCAGGAGCAAGGGAAGGTAAAGGCTGAAACATACTGGGTGGTGCTTTTCAGCCATGCCACGCCATGGTCGCTCGCCAGTTCAGCAGCAGTCTTGGTTGACGCTGCATCCACGCAGTCACCCAGAGCCAGGTGCTTTCTGCCGTGCCGTCGTGTCGAATCTCACAGCGGCTGTCATCATGCCCTCGCACCCGGCTGTCCAACCCGAACCTGGCAAGGGCGGAGAGGGCGAGAGAGAGGCAGAATAGCTGAGGCAGAAAAGGTGAGGGGAAGGGCAAGAGGATGTTACGGAGGTGGTGCTAGCTGCCATGCCATGATGATGCCATGGACCAGCCAGTCCCATCTCGCATGATGAGCCATGAGAAGCTGGTGATTTCTGCCATGCTCTCCAATTCTAATTCGTTTTGAACGAGCAGCGACAGTAGCAACGCAGCAACAGCAGGCGGTAGGTGGCCACAAAGAGCGAGAGGATGGCCGCGTTGACGAACGAGAGGCATCGCGCAGCGCGCGCGCTTCTTGGCAACCTCTCTTACCGCCCCTGCTCCACTGAGCCCGACAAGAGCGGCACGCATGACACATGACCTAGTTCGAAACTAATGGTGGTAATTTAGATGACCGCGAAAGGCGCCAGTCGAACGGAGGATTTAAACCGCGCGCTAAGCTCAGGCCGTCGCATATTGAGGCGAGTGGTCGTGAAGATTCCGTGGAACGTTGGTCGCCAACGTTGGTCCGGCGGCAATTCTAGGTGAGCACGGTTTAGTACTATTAGTACGGCCACTACTTACTAATACTAGTACTAGTGGTACTACCGCTATCACGGTGTGTGAGGAGTATGTGGCAGCGGGAGTCGGTGCTACGGAAGAGCGAGAAAGTGGGCTTCAATGATACTATTATCTACTACTAGCTAATACGAACAACCATGTGCTACTGCTGTGAAAAAATATAGAAGCGAACGCGAGTACGAGGAGACGAGATACTGCGAGGAGGGAGCGAAATAATATTTTTTAGATGACTAATACTAACCGCTACGCGAATTCAGCGCTGTTGATATGTAACGCCAAGCGACTCGCAGGTTATGCGGACATTAGGATGGTGGGATGCGTATGCAGGCACTATCCTTGTGTGCTACTACCAATGGTGTGTCACATCACATCACATCACATCACATCAGGTCACGTCACGTCACGTCACGTCACATCACATCACATCACATCGCATCGCATCGCATCACATCACGTCACGTCACGTCACGTCACGTCACATCACCTCACAACACATCACATCACATCACATCACATCACATCAGGTCACGTCACGTCACATCACATCACATCACATCACGTCACCTCACATCACATCACATCACATAATATCACATCCACTCCCCATCCATCATCATGTTGCCTTGGAAAGTTCCAAAGATCCACACCAACATGTGTCGTCCTATCTACAGTCCACTCTCCCTCACAGCCTGCACTGTGGTCTGTGGTGTGATGTGGTATGGTGTGATTGTGGAATTGTATGTTGTGTAACACGTCATCATGTCATCTCTTACACGTCATCATCCATGCATGCTGTTGGTCGCCAGCTGGCAGTGCAGAAGGTATTGGATGCGCGCTTCCATCCGAGGGGCCAGCCTCAGCTTGTCATTGGCTGCAACGAGGTGAGCGGTGACTTTTGAGGCGCCTCAAAGGTGCGCCTGACATGACAGTTGCTTGCAACAAACATGACGACTTGTTGACTTCGAAGAGTCGACTCGAAATTAACTCGGTTCCACCCCAGGGGCAGGCCTCATCTGGTCACTAGGGCATGCCTCATTGCTGCAATGAGGTGCGTGTGCGCCTCTCATGACGGTTGCTTGCAATAATCATCACACTTTGTCGACTTTTGAGTCGACTGGAAAGTGAACTCGCTCCATACCAGGCCAGACTCAGCCTGTCTTGTCATTGGCTGCAATGAGGTGCGCCTTTCCTCGCGTTCCCTCCCTTTCATCGCATTCTCCTTTGTGTAAGGAACAGGTGCAATATCCTCTCATTCTCCTTCCTTCTCTCCTCTTCCTCACCTTTCTTCTCTTTGCCAGCGATAACAATTGCCCTTTGAGACATAATTCTTTTGCGCTTGCGACCGTAAGCGAATACCCTCACACATACGATCACCATGACCTTCTCTAATAACCCTTCTGCCCCCTGCCCCACCATCCCACCAGGCCCCGAACGAGTTGCTCCTCTTCGACCTCTCCTCCGGCTCCCACCGCCCCCTGCAAGGCCACGCCTGTCAGGTGTGTACCTAACCCCACCAAGCGCACGCCTGTTTTGTGTGCCAGTGTTTTATCACCTTCTCCCCCCACGAACCCTCACTGGTATCCCCTATCCGCCCCACCTCATATTCCTTGGGGCGCCGTCCCAATGCATACCACCGCATCACATCACCTCACAGCACCACACAGTGCCCCACAAACCACACCACAACACACCACGCCGCACCATTCCACACTATCCACCCCACCCCAACCCATCCCTCCCCACCGCATCACACCACGGCATCAGATCCAGGCGGTGGAGTGTGCCATGGATGATCACGCCATCATCTTCCCCATTGCTCTCTTGCCATGTATCGTCACTGCCATCACCATGCACCCCACCCACCCCACCCCACCCCACCCCACTACTCCACACCACATCACACCATGTCATCGAATCCAGGCGGTGGGGTATGCCATGCATGGTTACAACATTCCATCCCCCATCCTTCCCTCCCCCATTTCCCTTCCCGTGTGCCCCATCCCCATCACATCACATCCCCACCCCTCCCCACCCCTACCCACCCCACCCCACCGAATTACACCAAGGCAGATCCAGGCGGTGGAGTACGCCATGGATGGTGACGTCATCCTCTCCTGTGGGGGCTGTACACTCAAGGTGAGAGAGGACTTGCCTTTTTATACCATGCACTGCCATGCCATGCCCTGCCATGCCCTTGCAATGCCCTTGCCATGCCCTGCCATGCCCTTGCCATGCCCTTGCCATGCCCTTGCCATGCCCTTGCCATGCCCTGCCATGCCCTTGCCATGCCCTTGCCATGCCCTTGCCATGCCCTTGCCATGCCCTGCCATGCCCTTGCCATGCCCTTGCCATGCCCTGCCCTGCCCTGCCATGCACTTGCCATGCCCTTGCCATGCCCTGCCATGCCCTTGCCATGCCCTTGCCATGCCCTTGCCATGCCCTTGCCATGCCCTTGCCATGCCCTTGCCATGCCCTGCCATGCCCTTGCCATGCCCTTGCCATGCCCTTGCCATGCCCTTGCCATGGTGGCTGGCTTGACATGACAGCATACTTGAAACAGTTTAGTTTCGGTCCGTCCATACCCACGAGTGTACTCGTGGCGAGGTTTCAGGCATCCCACGCGTGCCCTGCATTCAAGCCCGGGCTTGACTTTTGAGACGTGTCAAAAGGCATTTAACTCTTTCTCTGCATTCAAGCCCAGCCATGCAGGCTACAAGCCTACCGTCAATCAACCGCATTTCCGATCCACCTGCCGTGGCAACCATTCCCTTCAGGTGTGGGACTCCACGTCAGCATTGCTGCTGCACTCGTGTGGGCCGGGAGTTGCTGCCACCGCCACCGCCACTGCCAGTGGGAACCCGTCAATTGCGTGTCATCGCAACAAGATCCGTGCTCTTGCCGTTAACCAGAAGATGTCATGTGAGTCATGTGTGCATCTTGTCATGTGAGTCATGTGTGCATCTTGTGATGTGAGTCATGTGTGCATCTTGTCATGTGAGTCATGTGTGCATCTTGTCATGTGAGACATGTGTGCATCTTGTCATGTGAGTCATGTGTGCATCTTGTCATGTGAGTCATGTGTGCATCTTGTCATGTGAGTCATGTGTGCGTCTTGTCATGTGAGTCATGTGTGCATCTTGTCATGTGAGACATGTGTGCATCTTGTCATGTGAGTCATGTGTGCATCTTGTCATGTGAGTCATGTGTGCATCTTGTGATGTGAGTCATGTGTGCATCTTGTCATGTGAGTCATGTGTGCATCTTGTCATGTGAGACATGTGTGCATCTTGTCTTGTGAGTCATGTGTGCATCTTGTCATGTGAGTCATGTGTGCATCTTGTCATGTGAGTCATGTGTGCGTCTTGTCATGTGAGTCATGTGTGCATCTTGGCATGTGAGACATGTGTGCATCTTGTCATGTGAGTCATGTGTGCATCTTGTCATGTGAGTCATGTGTCCATCTTGTCATGTGAGTCATGTTTGCATCTTATCATGTGAGTCATGTGTGCATCTTGTCATGTGAGTCATGTGTGCATCTTGTCATGTGAGTCATGTGTGCATCTTGTCATGTGAGTCATGTGTGCGTCTTGTCATGTGAGTCATGTGTGCATCTTGTCATGTGAGTCATGTGTGCATCTTGTCATGTGGGTCACGTATGCATCTTGTCATATCAACAGAGGCATTCGCAGCGGCAGTGGCAGAGGCAGCGGCCACAGCACTGCCAGTGCAAACCTGCCGATTGCGTGTCATCGCGACAAGATCTGTGCTCTCTTGCCGTTAACCATCGGCTTTCCCGTGAGTCAGAGCAGTCACCAAGGGGGCAACGAGAAAGCTGACATAAAAAAGGGATGACAAAATGAGGAGCGGATGGCAGATGGGGTGTGATGATTAAGGGAGAAAAGAGGGGTAGGGAAAGTTGTTTGATGGGGTGTGATGTGCGCTCAGCCAAGCCCCTCGCCACCACCCCCACCCTGTCACTACTTTGCTTCCCACCCTGCACCACACATCAGACCTAGCAGCCACCAGTGGTGCCAGTGGGGACCCGCAGGTCATCCTGTGGGACGTGCGTGTAGCCAAGCCCCTCGCCCACCTCTCCCCCTCCTTCACTCTGCCGCCCAGGTGCTGTGCCGCCCAGTACTGCTCCGCCCATGAATTGTGTTGCACACGCCCATGTTTGAGAATTCTCAATAGGGATTGAAGCTTGCAAGCCAGCCATACCTTGATTGGCATGAGCTCTTACCGGTGGTGCCATACCAGCTGTTTCAAGCACCAACGACCAGTTTCTTTCGTCTGATCATCTGATAGATACATGCCTGATCAGATGATCATTGAATCATTCCATGGAATCACATGCTCTGCTTAGTCTTAGCCCACACCTCACTGTTAATCGTCTTTATGACTCAACCATGGAGCTGGCACGTTAGGAGCTGGAGGGGCTGCAGGGGCGGGGGGGGCAGCGGGGACAGTGGAGGATGCAGGGCCAGGGGTTATACCCTTGCGCGGGCCACATTGGTTGGTGGCAGGCAGAGTGCCTCAGTGCAAGTGCGCATGGCAATGGATGCGCTCTGCTTGCTTTGCTTTGCCCTACGTTGCATGTCCCAACATCCATTCATCCCCCAACCAACCAACCAGGGAAGAATACCCTGGTGCGAGTGCGCATGGCCACAGATGCGCCGTGCTTTGCTTTGTGTGGACACTGCACGGGACATCACATCATACATGTGCTTCCCCAACCCCAGCTGGGCAGTGGGAACAGCTGGCCAGAGTGCTCCGGTGCGAGTGTGCATGGCAATGGATGTGCTGTGCTGTGTGGACTCTGCATCACACATTGTTCAAACACCCCATTCAAATCCCATCAGGGCAGTGGGTGCAGCAAGGAAGAATGCAAGTGCCCCGGTGCGAGTGCGCATGGCTGTGGATGCGCCGTGATTTGAGCTACCACGCATTGCATGTCCCATCATCCATTCACCCCTCAACCAACCAACCCCCAGCAGGGCAGGGAGTGCAGCAGGGAAGAATACCCTGGTGCGAGTGCGCATGGCCACAGATGCGCCGTGCTTTGCTTTGTGTGGACACTGCACGGGACATCACATCATACATGTGCTTCCCCAACCCCAGCAGGGCAGCACGGCAACCTCCCCCGGTGCGAGTGCGCATGGCGATGGATGCGCTGCGCTTCGCTCGCCTTACATTGCATGTCTCATCATCCATTCACCCCCAGCAGGGCAGCAACGCAGAGTGCCCGTGTGCGAGTGCCCATGGCAATGGATGCGCTGTGCTGTGCGGACGAGCGCTGGCTCATGTGCGGCTCTGATACCACGGGATCTGCGCCGTCCACCATCGTCCTCTGGGATACCTCCCGCCCCACCTCCTCCTCCGCTGCACCCTCTGCCTCGCCTGCTGCTACTGCCACTCCTGGTGCCTCTGCTCCCAGTGCGGGACCCTCTGTGTTCCACATGCCTGCCTTTTCCTCAGTGAGTCCACTTGGCACCAAGTAAAGGGTATGTGAAGTTCTTACTTTGCCCTTCACCTCAGTCCAAGTGAAGGGTGATTTTTGAGACTGCAGGGTGATCTTGAGGGATTCACAGAAACACAGAGTGGGATCTTCTGTGTTCCACATGATCTGCCTTCTTCTCAGTAAGAAAAACAACCTCGTTTTCCTCTAACTTCATGTTATGTGTTGCCGCCAACCCCACCAACTGTGTCAAACGAGAGGAGCTCATGCCGTATGTCGAATTTCTCTGCCATTCATGTCACTTATGTCGACGTCTTCCCATCCGTAAACATGCTCTTTCCCTCCCCCACGCCCACGCCATCCAGTTCGTAACATGTGTGGCCGCCAACCCCACCGACTCTCGAACCGTCGTTGCTGGTGAGCTCCTCTCTCCCTCCCACTATGTCTCATCTACCCTCCCTCATCTACCTTTCTCCTCTGATATTACACACGTACAATTCACCAGGCTTCCCTGAAGCGATTGGACTTGCTTGTACTGGTGGCCTTTCTTTGATTGGTCCTCTGCTTCCCTTCCAGCCCCCTTACATTCCACTAGGAAGACGTGTGAGGCTCTCATTCCCAAACTCCATTGGCTTGCTCCCATCCTCGTGTCAAATGCACTCTCCCTCCTGTTCTTGCCATGCCACCCATGCCACCCATGCCACGCATGCCACGCATGCCACCACACATGCCACCACACATGCCACCACACATGCCACCCATCCTCACCACTTGTCCCATGCCTACATTCCATCCCCGCACTGCATACCTCTCCTCTCCACTTAGTTCACTTCCCCCTCTTCCTTTCCCTCTGCTTATCCCTCTCTCCCTGCCCACCTGCAGGTGGTGGATAAGGCAGAGTGACTTTATTTTACTCACGCACGTACACAAGGCCGTGACTCACCTGTTAAACAGCCCATGCCACCTCCGACCATGGTGCTTCCATCCCACCCACACATTGCATTCCCACCACATGTGCTTCTGCGCTCCCTCCCTCTCTCTCTCTCTCTCTCTCTCTCTCTCTCTCTCTCTCTCTCTCTCTCTCTCTCTCTCTCTCTCTCTCTCTCTCCCTAACCGCCTGCAGGCGGCGGGGATGGCGGCGTGGCTCTCTTTGATTCATGCACGCACAAGGCCATCACTCGCTTCTCACTGGGAGGCAGTTTTGAGGTGAGAGGGATCAGAGGGGCGAGGGGAAGGCAGGTGAGAGGGGGTGATGGGAGGTATAGGGAGGGATGGCGGTGTGGCTCTCTTTGATTTGCGCATGCACAAGGCTGTCTCTCGCTTCTCCCTGGGGAGCAATTGCGAGGTGAAGGGAGTGAATGCAAGAGGGGAAAAGAGATGGTGAGAGTGAGATGGCCTATATCAATGAAAGGGGGAATATTAAATCTGACGTCTCTCCTCCCTAGCGCACCCCATTAGCTGACGCCAGCACCGTTCAGCCCTTAACTGCTCCATGCCACTTGCTCCACCAACTGCTGTTCCTGCTCCCTCCCGTCCTCCTTCACAGCACTGCACCCTCCTCTCGATCGCCATCCCGTATTTCTCGTCTCTGTTCACTCCCTGTCACTTCTCCCACACGCCCCATACCCCACCTCCACTCCATCCCCCCGCACACCCCTTCAGGTGACGTCAGCAGCGTTAAGCCCGTGTGATAGATCCCGCTGCCTCCCCTCCTTCTCCTCCTCCGCTGCTGCTCCCCCCTCCTCCTCGTCCGCTCCCCCTTCCTCTTCCTCCTGCCCCTCCCCCTCTCTGCGCGCTCTCTTCTGCCTCTCCCACGGCCCACCCATGCCGTTAGTGCACACGGTGAGATGGGGATGGTGAGAGGTGGCGGTTGGGGGTTGGGGGATGTATGCGTGGGGCGTGTGTGGTGTGGTGTGGTGTGGTGTGGTGTGGTGTGGTGTTGTTTGGTGTGGTGTGGTGCCAAGCCAACCCCACTTGTTCCCGCTTGTGCGCACTTGTGGTTTGGTTGGAGCATGCGAAGAGCGGGGTGAGAGGAGGGAGGGGAGGGGGGGTGAGTGCATCGTGTGGTGTGCGTTGTGTGTTGTGTGGTGCATGGCGCATGGTGCATGGTATATGGAGCACAGTTCATGGTGCATGGTGTATGGTGTATGGTGCATGGTGCATGGTGCATGGCGCATGGTGTATGGTGTATGGTGTATGGTACATGGTGCATGGTGCATGGCGCATGGTGTATGGTGTATGGTGCATGGTGCATGGCGCATGGTGTATGGTGCATGGTACATGGTCTGGTACCTAACCCTCTTGATTGCCTTATCTCCTCTCGCCATCTACCACACACACTCTTCACCCCCCAGTGTTGTGGATTGTGGGGAAGTGGGATGAACGACACCGAATGTGTCTTTGTCTCGCGCCTCTTTCCACTCCCTTTCCTCTCCCAACCCTACCTTACACACACTCTTCCCCCCACCCAGCTTTGTGGATTGTGGGGACGAAGGGGTCAATGATGCCAGGTGGCTCTCTGCTTTGCCTGGCTTCGTGACTGCCACTGGCAATGGCAGGTGGGATTGCTCTGCCACGCTGGTATGCTCTGCCACGCTGGCATGGTAGCGTGTGAGAGGCAGTGACAATGGCAGGTGGGAATGTCTTGCTGTGCCATCCTGCCATGCCCTGCCATGCTGTCACCCTTCCAAATCCCCGTGAGCATCTTTTAGAGAGGGTCCATTTCCCCCTTCCCCTTCCCCTTCCCCTTCCCCTTCCCCTTCTCCATCCCCTTCCCCTTCCCCTTCCCCACTCCCCTCCCCCTCCCCATTCCCCTTCCCCTGCCCCACCCATCGCTGCCATACTCTACCAAGCTGTCAGCGTAACAATACCTCCTTCCCCACCCTCCCCCCTGTCTCCTCCTGTGTAGCGTGGCTGTATGGGACTTAAAGAGGTGACTTTGAGTCAACTCAAAAGTCACCATCTTCCCCACCCTTCTCCCTGCCCCCTCCTATGGCAGGGACCTCACTCTAGCCGATCCCCTCACTGCCTTCTCTTTCAACTGGCTCAATGATCAATCATGTATTCTGCTTACCCTGCAGCCCTTCCCTTGTTCATCCGCCGTCCCTTCAATCCCCCCTTCCCCACAGCAGTGTGGCAGTGCGGTAATCTGCCCGACCCACTCACTGCCCTCTCCTTGAACCTTCCTCGGTCATCTGTTCTTCTTACTTTGCGTTGCTTCTCTTGATTCTCCTGCCCCGTTGCCTCACCCCTTCCCCATGCCAGTGTGGCTGTGTGGGACGTCTCTTTGGCTGATCCCCTCACTGCCTTCTCCTTCGCACACACTCGATCTATCAACACTATAAAGCAGTCTACATGCCGTATGATCGTACCGTAACTTTGTGTATTTCCTTTATTCGGTGAGGATTGCCCTGTGCATCCTTTTCAATTACACTTATTCTAGACTGGTTCAGCCTAGAACTTATACGTTGCCCCTCTCTCTCCCTCCATGGGCATATTTTGCAGTGGCTGACAAGGCTGTTGCTTTGGCGTCCCCCTCCCTGCATGGCAGGTGGCGGGGCCACCCTGTGACGCCTGCATTGCCTTTTGAGGCGTCTCAAAAGCCTTTTCTTTGCTCTTCCTCCCCCTCCCTCCATGACCAGGTGGCAGTGGCACCCGATGATGCCTGCATTGCCATCGGAGGGGATGATCAGAAAGTGGTGAGCGCATTTCTCTCCCCTCTCCTCCATTCCTAGGTGCACTAATACATGCTCGCATGCAACAGCTTTATGCATGCATGTAGCCCACATGCGCACGTCCATGCATGCATGCACTCATTCTTGCACGCGTGTACGCAATCCAAGTGCTAGCAATTGCGTGAACCCGCACACACACACTCGCACACACACACTCGCACACACATACACACTCGCACACACACACACACTCGCGCACACACACTCGCACACACACACACTCGCACACACACACTCGCACATACACACTCTCTCACACACACACACTCGCACACACGCACTCGCACACACACACTCGCACACACACACTCGCACACACACACTCGCACACACACACTCGCACACACACATTCGCCTACACACACTCACCTACACACACTCACACACACACATTTGCACACACACACTCACACACACACATTCGCACACACACATTTGTACTCACACATACACCACATGCACTCAACCCTCATATGTGTACGAGCAGCACTAATGCACTTGCACATACATGCACACACATGCACACACATGCACACACATGCACACAAACATGAACACACCCTGTCAAATGTTCTTATCCAACTTTCTCATTACCATTTTGTGTTGCCATATGCTCTATCTCCCCTTCCCTGCTTCCATCCTCAAATCCTTTACCTCCCAGAATCGCTTGTAACTGTTTTATAAGTAAGGGACGACTCGAAAATAAGCTCTCCGCGTCGTTTTCTCCATTTGTTGCTTCCCCCCTCAAGTCCTCTACCACCCCCCCTCACTTTCCCTCGCCTCCCTTTCTTATGCCCATAAGGTGTTACCATCTGTACCTCTCTCCATTCAACCCTTCCCCCTTCAGGTCCTCCATCTCTCTCCTTTGACCGCCTCTTCAACCTCGACTCACTGGAAGCTCACACACCTCCTTGCCTTGTAGCCTTGCTGCAGCATGTTGCAAATGGTTTGAGGCACCAATAAATACTGTCATCGCTCGGATAGTAGACATGTATGTCTTATCTCGTACACTGCTCAAAATTCTTGAGTTATCTTGTATTTGGGATGGTTTAGGGTGTCTTATAAGTCTTATAAGTGGAAAAAAATATATAAGTACTCTACATCATTTGGAAAGTGTGTAGAAACCACCCAGGGGCCAAATTCATTGAAACAGGATGACCTTGGTGGTGATGCATGCAGCGCCTCCACTTGCCACATGGGGGATGCAGCAAAGCTGCTACTGCTGGCAACATCACTCCGTGCTGGTAGCATCTAATAATGCTGCCAGCGTCGTTTTGCTGCCAGCGTCGTTTTGCAGCCAGCACCGCATGGATGCTTCCAGAACGCTGCTGGCAGCACGATGGCAGCGTGAGGGCTGTCCTCTACGAGGAGATTCCTCGTAGAGGAGCGGCTCGGCACCTTTGGAAGGGACACTCTAGCTGGGGAAGGTAGTCGGCTTGAGCTTCATTTGGTGCTCAAAGAGGTTGAGATCTCAACTCAACCTTTGCTCTCGGCAGGCTTAACCATGCACAGCAAAGTCCCCGTAGGCACGTCCTCACCTCGCCCTCACGTGCAGGTAAATAACTACGGGCAAATTAACTCGCCCGGTGATGACATCCATGTAGACATGGCGAAGAATACGCGAAAGGCAGGAACATCTACTGCCGCCTCCGATGCGAGCTGTGACGGGGACGGCGGCGACGAAGAACACGACGACGACGACAAGGAGCATTGGCCGGAGAATAGCCACGACGACAACGCTTCAGGGGATGAAATAGCTCCTGCCAACATCGACGAGGACGAATGGTGGAATCGGCTGGTTGGGAGTGACGACGAAGTGGAAGAGTGGCGGGCTGGTGATCCAGACAACGACGAGGGTGCTGATGCTGATGGTGAGCACGCGAAGGCAGCGGCGTATGCAACGGGAGTGACGGTGGATGCGAATGCGGAGGCTGACGACGAGGCGGATGCAGAAGCGAGGACGAAAGAGGAGGCGAAAGCGGATGCCGATGTTGTTGTGCCCGCGGATGTGGCCGCAATTGCGGACGCGGATGTTGTGGGGGAACCTCGTCGACGTAAGTGCCTGTGGACTTCCAAGAAGCCATCTCCGCGTCCATGGCTGACTGCCACTGAGAGGAGTAGGGACCCTCGATCGCCTCAGCGTACGATCGAGGAGTCGGGATGTTTGGTGCATCCGGGTCTCCCTCAAGGGCGATCAGCGTGGACACGAGAAGGGGCAAAGCAGCAGCAAAGCACTGGACGACCGTGCCTGTCCTCAAGGACGTCCGTGCTAAGAGCACACTCACCCCCGACGGACGGAGGACAGACACACTCAGACTCAGCAACAAGACTAGCAGCGTAGTCTAGACGACAGCGAGCAGCAAAGTCGACAAGCTCAGCAACTAGGGCCGACGCAGAAGTGGACTCAAAGGAAGGGTCAGTGACAACAGTAGCCAAGAGACGCGTGACAGTAGGACTCGCAGTACGAAGAGAGTCAGACTCCAGGTCAGCAAGGATAGGAAGAGAGGACTCTGGAGGAGACGACAACAGGACATGCAAAGGAGCAGTGGACAGATGCAGTGCCATCTGGTGTGTGCCTGGGACCGCAGGAGGACGCGGACGCGGAACACGACGACTAGTGCGAGCAGCACAAACAGGCGACGCAGGACGAGACGCAGGCTCACGACGCTCAGCAAGACCTCCAGTAGGACCAGTGTAGGGAGAAGGAGCAGGTAGGGGGGAGGCGGGCGGTAACTGTGACTGCGACTGGACAGGCTGTGGACACTCTAAGGGAGGAGCAGGACCAGTAGAGGGCGGGAGACCAAGAACCTGCTCAAGGAGCAAAACGAAGTACGGCTGCGGCCGCGCAGCGCCTCCAGAACCAGCAGGGACAGCACCAGTACCCCCAACGGCAGCACCAGTACTAGAAGCAACCCCAACTCCAACAGCGCCAACTCCAGCACCCTCAAACGCACTAGCGCCAGCAGAACCACCAGCGCCAACACCCCCAACAGCTCCAGCTCCAGCAGCTCCAGCTCCAGCAGGACCGGCAGCTCCAGCACCGCCAGTAGCTCCAGCAGTACCACCAGCAGGACTAACTCCAGCAGCCCCAGCAGCACCCCTAGTCCCAGCAGCTCCAGCACCAGTAGCTCTAGCAGCTCTAGCAGTACCAACTCGAGTAGGACCGGAAGCTCCAGTACCGCCAGTACGAGCACCTCCGTGACCAGCTGCAACAGTAGTACCTCCAGCTCGAGCAGCACAGCTCCAGCGCCGGGCAAACCACTCGCGCAGCTCTTGCGGAGAGAGTGGCTCCTGCCTCGACGAAGCACCACGAGACACGAGCAGACCCAGCATCCCCAGGCTCCTCACCCCCTGGCTCAGCACCCCCAGGCTCAGCACCCCCAGACTAAGCACCCCCAGGCTCAGCACCCCCAGGCTTAGCACCCCCAGGTTCCGCACCCCTGGACTCAGCACCCCCAGACCCGGCACCTGTAGGCTCAGCACCTCTAGCAGTACCACAGTCAACAGCTACCTCGACAGGCTCGACTGCGTCTACCTGGGACACACCTGATGGGGCAGGACCCTGAGGGGGGAGGGGGTCTACTGGGGGAGGACCTGGCGCAAGGAAGAGCGGCGGCGGGGGAGGGGAGCAGTGCGAAAGGGGAAGAGACGGTAGTAAGGCATCGACTCGTCAAAGGTGATGTCCTGGGAGGACAGAACACGGCGCGAGGTGGGGTGGTAAAACTGCCACCCTGGCGCGTCAAGGGGGAAGCTAAGGAAGACGCAGGGAACACCACGGGGGGACAGCTTGTCCGCAGACAAGTCGCGGACAAACGCCCGAGATCCCTAGACCCGAAACGCAGACGCATCGCCATCCTTCCCCGTCCACCGCAAGGTGGGGGAGGTCTCTAACAAGGAGACCCTGGGCAGAAGGTTGAGCTTATGCGCTGCGTACTGAACCGCAAACGGCCACAGAAAATGGGGGGCAGCCGCATGGATCATGGACGTACGAGCGACGTCCATGACCATGCCAATGCGGCGCTCAGCAATCCCATTTTGCTGTGGAGAGGCCGGAAGCATGAAGGTCTGGCGGATGCCCTGTGCTCGACAGAAGGCTCCCAGACGGGCAGAGGAAAACTCCCTGCCTCTGTCAGAGTGCAGACGCAGAACAACAAAGTCCGAGCCAAAAATCTCTCTGAGCTGGAGACGAGCTGCGCGGATCCAGTCGATCAACACCTCAGTGACGTCACCCTTGCTGCGCAAGGGGAAGACTGTGGTGAAACGCGAGTAGTCGTCAACCACCAACAGGAAGTAATGCTCGTGCCCTGGCCACGGACGCGGGCGGGGCCCCACACGTCCATGTGGAGAGTCAGCAGAGGAGCCTCTGTCAGAGGAAACTCGGAGGAGTGAGGGGCGGCGCGCTGTCACCCCTCGACGTAGGGGACGCAGATAGGGGCAGGCCCCGGAGGTAGGGGAGCGAGAGACCGGGGGAGACCAGAGACAAGGACACGGGATGCCATGCCTCAGAGACGAGGCAGGGAGGGGTGACCAAGGCGGTGGTACCAAAGGAGAGTCTGGTGGGACAGGAGACGACACGAGCAGGGAGCAGACTCAGGACCAGACCTGGACGCTGCAGCAAACACCTGACTCGACGCAGCTACCTGACTAGACTCAGTAGCTGGAGGAGACTCAGTAGTAAGTGTGTACAAGGTCGACCCCGGCCGACGGGTGAACGTGGCCAAGTGTCGGCCTGTCCGAGAAATCGTGCAGTGCGTCACCCGCTGACTCGCAGGAGTGAACTGGTCAACCCCCCTATCCTGTAGATCAGCTCCACTCACCAAGTTCGTAGAGAACGAGGGGAGGTAGAGACCTGACAGTGTGCCAGAGGGGGCTGCCGTGCACAGTAAGATAGTGGAGAAGCTAGCAAGGACAGGACCCCCAGAGGGGTCCGCCAGGGAGACCGCAACCGGCCGACTAAGCGGCGTAAGTGTGGTGCGGTCTCGAAAGAAGGAGCGGGAAGC